AACACAAAAGCCAAATGCAATGCTTGAACCTTAATTGGATCTGATCTGGAGGAAAAGGAGCCACAAAAGATATTTTTGGGATAATAAATGAAATCTGAGTTATGGACAGCATGTGGGATGATAGTATTGAATTATTGTTGATTTCTCAGTTACAGTAATAGTATATGGTTATATACGAGAACATCCCTGTACTTGGGAAATACATCCTGAGGTACTTACAGGTGAAGTGTCATGAAATGTGCAACCTACTTTTGGATGGTTTGACAAAAGAAAATGTGTGTGTGTGTGACAGAGAGAGAGAGAGGTGGAATATTTGGGGTAAGAAAATGGTGAATTTAAATGAAGGATATATAGGTGTTCATGTGGTTTTCTTTCAATTTTACTGTGGGTTTGAAAATTTCAAAATAAAAAAAAAGATTTAAAAAAATTAGAACTCCTCCAAGTTTCCTGTTTTCCACTCAGAGTATACTTTAAAAAGCTAAATGAACAAGGAGAAAAATACAGCAAATTTGGTGCTTTACATACCTTCCACGTCATACCAATGTGCGCCATTTGTGATCCCATCTTTGAAAGTCTCATCTTCATCTCCGGGACAATGAGGTGTACCAGTTTTCATTATAGGGTGGTTTGAGGCATAGGCTTTTGCCAAGTATTTAAATACTTCATCATCTGAGGTTTTGCTATAGACTCCAGTGGCTTTATGTTCTGGAGAATCATCAAAAGGATAGCTTGCTACCACCGAGCCACCATGCAGATTTCCAGAAAGCACAAACCTTTGAAAACACAACCAAATCACGTATCACTAAAAAAAGGTATAGAAAACACCATGTATTTAAAAATTCGACATCTTTCATAAATGAACTCAGATATCTCTCTTGAGACCTAGAAGATAACTCTATCACATGTTACAAGCAGACCAAAACAACAAAAAAAAGAAAATGGAAAGAAAGCATCATCAATTTAACAAATTTCAAACAGTTTTTACAATTCAAGTTAACCTCAAATAACTTGAAAGAATTTTCCCATCATTGAAAAAGTAGCTGAATAAGACGATATAAATTAATGTGTCAGTAGGCGTCTTATTCAGGAAATTCCAAATTCATGTATTATTACATTGAACAATATGAACTTGCCAATATTCAACCATTTTTTGACTTACAAAAATGACAATTTCATATAGTTCTATCTAATACTTGTATTTCATAATGTGTTAATTTCATAGAAAGTGTGGCTTGTATAAATAAATATTTATTGAATACATGAGTTAGGTTAATAACTTTCATGCTTTTTATATTACTGTCCAAAGACAATTTTTAAGATAGGGAGTCTAATTTAAAAAACAGGATGTGTTTTGCCTCTCTCCAATTTCACAATATACTAAATTCACATTTTCAAGAGAAGCCACAGTTGAGAAGATTCAGGGGGGGAAAAAGAACCTGATACAGTGAGCTGCTTTTAGAGAAAAACAATACAGCACATAAAAGACTAGTCTTCCACTGCATCACTGTAAAAGCAGCTCTCTTTCTAGGCCCAAGGTTCCTGATTGGGCCATTAAAAAATAAACTGATATGGAGACAACACTGCTCCTATAAAAGAAACATTTTTATTATTTTATGTTTCTACTTTTAAAGTGAACTCATTAACAATTTGGTCAAATTTATAGATACAGAAATACTGAAGAACGCCTTTTATGGTAAAAGCTAAAGGCAAAAACACGCTTAAGTCCTATTTATACATCTTTCCCTCATGTAACAGTTCAAACCATTACTTTGAGTAGAGATTAAACACTTTTCTCTTTGCCCTATAAACTGGATTTTCTTGCTTTTGCCTTTTTGTGGTTGAAATGAAGTGACTTACAGAAATTCTAATGGGGATTGATATATAACATTTCTTTCTATATGCTTGAAAGAAAATTAAGCCTATGGTATATCTAATTTGAAAGGTTATTTTAAGTATGATCAGTACCATCCCAGAGGACATCAAACAATGAAAATTACTTGTAACACAGAACCTGTTCATCAAAAGACAGAGTTTAGCCAATAAAGATGGTGATTAAATATTAGAATAGACTACGAAAAGAGACTACTTTAAAGCTAATATAATTACAATCAGCACTCTTCCAGACACCAGAGGAGAATGCCATTTGGTGCAGTGGCAACAGCACAGGCTTTGGAGCCAGGCAAATATGGGTAAGAACATTCGGTCTCCCAGACCTGTCGCTCACTAGTGATATGATCAGAGAAGTTACTGCCTCTAAATTCACTGAACTTCGTTTTTTCTCTCATCTGTAATGGAGATTAATGTCACCTGCTTCCTGGGATTGTTATGAGAACTAAATAAGATAATACATGTGAAAGATCTCCAGCACAACGAGTGACTTAATTTTTTAAGAATGAGGATGGATGGACGGACTTTTCACCCTATGTGGTCACCGACTTTCCCTTCCGATTAGAGTTACATGTTTGAAAAGTGTTTGGGTATGATCAGGGTAGTCCACCGCCACAGAACAAACTACTTTCTATGTAATGCCAACTGACACAGATGAGCTTTTAAAATCCTCACAAGCTCCTATCATTGAACTAACTGGCCCAGACCATAACTTATAATCATTAAATACTGGTGATATAAAAGAGTTAACCAAAGAGCAAATTTTTGGTTCTATATATAAAATTTAAAGCTTTTAGTATAGCCTCAAGGTGACTTGCACCAAGGCAAAGCTCATTTTCATTTTTGGTCACAGCAGAACTAAGAATGAAGAGGAAAATCCAGTCACAGAATGTAAACCCCTGCAAGGGTCATGACGGGGCATTTTAGACAACTAATTTAAGCAATACAAACAGTGCATTTGATATGTCATCTCAGAAAAGCCCTGCCATCACAGCTTCGGTCAATAAGATGTATGTTAAAGTCATATTTCTTATGCAAATGTTCAGAGGTCATGACACCGTTATCGTTCTTTAGAAGAAAAAAAAATCTTCCCAGAAATGTGAAATTAAATATCTACAAGGGATCTCAAAAGGAGGAGTAAAGTGAAAGATGGAAGAGAAAAAGAATCTAGAACTGTCTGTCATAATGCCAACAAATTTTCTAGGTCTGCCTTATACACTGAAATCTTGTAGAACAGATGATTTCAAGTCCCACAGAGAAACTTCTTTGTTCATTACTACTTTTATCTTATCTGTTGTTCAGAAATCTTCTTCAAATCAAGATGGGAAGATTAACTATTGCTTCACAAGCCTTATGAAGAAGACACAAAAATGGGGATATGCTGGCAAAGCTCATGCTTGAGAAAGGGAAGAGGTGCATGCTCACTTCAGACATTATTCCATCTGGAGTAAGGGTCCTCTTCCTTTATTCCTCTCCTCTCTTTTGGTGAAAATCCTACCCATCTCTCAAGACTTAGTTCAAGTTCTACCTCTTCCACAGAGATGATCCATCTTATTGCAGCCCACACACATTCTGCCAGTAGGAACAACTCCTGTAAAGTTTATGTACTGAGTACATAAATACACCTCATATATAATATTCTCTTGTTATACACCAGTTTCTTGAGGTCCTCATGCTTTTTAATTTTTTAAATTCCACATGGTGTTAATAACACTTAAGGCATGTATTAAGTGTAACAAATAGCCATTCAGCCCTGGCCCACTAATAAAGTGCACAAACGGCATCAGAAACACTTGAGAGACGAAAACGAAGCAGCTCACAGATGAAGGTTCCAGATCTGTGCACGTTCTCCAGCCATAACCATAAGTTCCTTAGCTGAGTCAGAGGTTAAGACTGGAAGAGAACCGGTTTCTGTCCAATAAAGAAGGGGAGGACCCTGGGAGTGCCATTTATCATTTCTGGGCTACAGTCTCCCTCCATGGCTGTTAAGAGCACTAAGAATCAGATTGCCTGAGTCTAAGTACCAGTGAAACTTGGTACTATGTAAATGATTTAACCAATCTGACCCTCCATTTCCCCATATGCAAAACAAGGATATTAACGGTGTCTATCTCATCAGGTTGTGGCCACATCGAGTAAGATAATGCAGTCCACGGAAAGAGCTAGGTACAGTGCCTAGAGTAAGAAGATAATAGCAATATCGACAGCTGATCCACAAAAGGAGTGAGCTAACCTAGATTATCCTTAAGGTCTCTTCTATCGCTCTATCCTATGGTCCTGTATGAATAGGAACTTGAATGCCAGAAAGGAGTCTCCTCTCCAGGCAAACAGCTCTCTTTGCATCCGTTGAACAAATCACAGCCTCTAGGCAGCGCTTCCCCGACAATTAGCGGGACCGGAGGCTGAACGGCCTGGGCCCTGTCCCCGTTACGGGGTGTCACCTCTACTCGCACTACCCTCGCCCCTTGCAGGTAGGCCTGCAAGCACTGTCTGAGCGCCTACCGAGTGCCAGGCCCAGCCTCTGCCCCCGGGGGCTCACGTGGATTGGGAGGCGAGGGAGGGCGACACTCACTTGTTCCTGCGGATCCAGTCGATGAGGGCGCGCACCTCGGGCACGTCGTCCAGAGCCGGGGGCTCGCCAGAGCTGAACTGGTCCGGGAAGCTGCGGTTGAGGTCGCGGCCGCGGCTGTTGTCGCGGCCGCTGGCCCCGGGAGGGCCACTGTCGCCGAGGCCGCAGTCGCCCTCGCGGGCGCGCTCGAAGCCATCGGGGTTGAGGCTGGGCAGCACGTACACGTCGGTGGTGTTGAGCAGGCGGACGAGGCGCGGGTCCCCGCGGCGGTAGCCGGCCGCCAGCTCGCGGGCCAGGTAGACGAGCACCTGGCGCGACACGGTCTCGTCGCCGTGCATGTTGCCCACCAGCTTCACCTGCG